TAATTTTAATAATAGTAATTTAAAAAGTTGTTGAATTGGCGTTTTATTAGTATTTTTCTCATATTATTATTAATATTATTGTTGTTGTCACCTTTATTATCGATATTACTACCCTATTATTACTAAGTAGGCCTAGTATTATAAATATCATTATTATTACTAATTAGTATTACTATTATTATAAAAATAAACATTATCTATAATTTATTATTGTATTATTGCTATTATCACCTTCAATATGGTTATTATCACTAATTAGTTATTAAAATTGATATTTAAATATCGTTATTATTACCATACTAGTATTATTACTATTTGTTAAAATAAATATTACTATTAATGTTGTTGTTGTTATTATCACATTTATTATCGTCATGACTAATTAGTATTATTAATGTAAATATTACTAATTTATTCTCGTTACTGTTGTTTAATATTATTGTTGAAGTAGAATGTTGTGAGTAAACAGAAGACGAACACATTAAAATAACTCTTTTTAATTCATAGGCAATAACATTCAAATCTCTTTTGGTAGTGTGGTGGTCCTGTTTTACTAAAACATACTGTGTACTTTATTTCAATCATATATTGAAGAAAAAGGATGCAAAAACTTAGATTTACATTAAATAACTTGTGGCCGAGTTGACTTGTGGCCGAGTTGGCAGAAGCCGAAATTTTTGTGGCCGAGTTGATTTGTGGCCGAGTTGACTTGTGGCCGAGTTGACTTGTGGCCGAGTTGACTTGTGGCCGAGTTGAATTGTGGCCGAGTTGACCTGCACCCCTGTGCTGTAGGCCTAGCCTTACTAGCTGGGCCCGCCTAGTAGTTGTAGAGGTGTTGGCCAGGCCTTAACCCTAACCCATCTTCTACTTACGTAACTGTAACTGTAGCTAGGCCTAGGCTAGGGGGGATTGGATAGACCTCTGGGTAGGCCTACGCCTAACTTAAGTAAGAGCTTTTTTATTTTTTAGTTAGGCGGTATAGCCTAGCCTATGTATGGCTTGGCCAGGCTGATAATATTGTAAGGCCTGCGCGGGGAATAGGCCTATATCCTCTGCTCAAAAATTTGGCCTAGAAATTTGTCTGCGCATTTGGGAAAATAAGGGCCAATTTCCTCAAAGATTTTGCCGAAAATTAGACTTTGACTAATTTTTATATAAGCCTATGCCTATATGAACAATGTATTTACAGTAGGCAGCAACTACGATTCTGCACACCTATTTTCCTAGCGATTTTCAGTGCAAATTTAAGCTGGTTTTTGAGGTATCATTCACGGAATTAAAAAAACTTTACAATATTGCGGCGAGGGACTGTAACTTTAACTTGATTTTACATAATAATAATAAAAATAATAATATTAAATAATAATAATAATATAATGTGTTAGACATACTGTACCAACTCCCTGAACATACCTATCCAGGACCATTCCATAAGTTTGAAAATGTTGATGTATTTTTTATATACCTACCTATTTTCTCATACAGTTTATAGTTGTTGTGCTACTTGTGAATTATTGTAAACAAATGTTTTCAGCCCTTGGCTGCTGTTTTGCTTGGTATTTACCTGAATAGATAAATAAATAAAGTTTACTATTAATCTTCACCTTGGGTCAAGTTGTGAGAGGCCAGACTGTAAAGTATGTCCTGCCCAGGGAATATATTCTCCGCGCAACAGTTTGACCTAGGGTCTAGAAAACGTCGACGCATTTTGGAAAATAAAAGCAGATTTCCGCGCAGACTTCGTTGAAAATTAGGCTTTGACCTAATCTTAAAATATACAGTACATCCTTGCACCATGATTCGTTAACGTAAAGGCACACACCACCACCTTCTTTTTTTCCCGTACTGACTTTGTCTCTGTCTAGTCTCACACATTTGAAGCCGTCAATTTTGGATTCATGTTCGAAGACGGACTCGTTTAACCAAGTTTCTATGAATGCCATAAGGTAGCTGTCTCTATATTCAAAATGATATCTTGCATTTGCAGCCAATTCTCTTAAGTTTAACCCTGAAACCTTTATTTTGAAATACCGGGATGGTGTCCGGCGGGGGATAGTTTTAATAATAATAATAATTTGGATTTGTAAAGCGCAAAATACATAGGTCTCTATGCGCTAGAAATTTGCAAATTAAAATAAACTAAAGCCTCAGTTTAAGTTTAAGTTACATTTTGGTGGTTAAGATTAGTGTTAGTTGTAGTTAAAATGTCCTGGGTATGACGATAAGATGCATCCACTCGAATTCCTGCGACAAACTGGCAGCCCCATCTACGGCCTTAGCGGCCTTTGGATGGGAGGGTGAATGGTTACCCAGCAGCAATAAGAAAAATAGCTGAACAAAGGGCGGATGAACTCTTCGGAGCCAACGGTCAAACCATGCTTAGTTGAAGGAGTAGAATTAGTTAAGTATCATTCTATTTGTATTCTTATTTATGTTAAGCGCATAGAGGTCTCTATGATATGCGCTCTATAAGTCGACCATTATTATTATTATTATTATTAATTCACTAACCTTGTTTTTGAGTGAGTGTGCGTTGCCAAAAATTACAGAAGGCATTGAATTGGAGGGTTGAATTTTTTCCTTTGAAGTTTAGCGCATGCTCCTCCTCTTTTCCCGCGCTTCTTGATATTAATCCAAAATTGATCAGGATCCATCTCTGGTGGTAGAGGATTAGACCAACTAGGCTTTGGATCGTCAGTGTTTTGTCTAAGGTCTAAGCCGCAGGAGCTCTTCACGCTCGTATACGGTAAGTGGAGGACGTCTAGGCCTATCGCCGACATCGTCATGGCCTAGAGGATTTGCTCTTCAACAAGTCACAAAAATCAGCGATTTCCACAAAAAGATGAACCACAAAAACATTGTGATTCAAAGTGCTTTTCTTCTTAACTACACGCTAAGTAAAAAAATATCAATAAATCTGCAACTTAACACCGGAATCAACCTAGTCGCCGCTGTGCAGCGCCCTGCATATGTATCATTATATTTTTCTTGTTTATTATAAATATTATTATTATTATTATTATTATTAGTTGCTATTATATTTATTATTATTATTATTTTTTCTAGTGATTTTTCGCACAAATTTGAGTTGGTTTTTCGATATGCCCACACCGAAAACAAAAAAATTTACAGTGTGGGTGACTAATACTATAGGCAATCCTAGGCCCATGGTAATCATGTAGTTATACATTATATTATAATGAAATATAATTCATGAATGTTTTTCCCACCTTCAGATAAAACTCCAGTATGCAAGGCTTTGATGTTCATCATTGGTATACCATCATTAATTTTGAATTTCACTCCAAAACTGCAAAGATATTTTGTGTACAGCTTCAGTGATGTGACAAATCCATTAAAGGTATTTATAATTTATAATGTGAACACTAGACTCCACTCCCCAAGCATATTGTACAGAAGAGAGCAGCACACAGTTCCATCTATTGAAAAGCATACAGGATAAGAAAGAATACATACTCCAAGTATTGAAATACACACCATCGTGGTGGGATTCAATATTTCAACAATAATTATGTCATCAGGCATGAAAAATTATCCATATTTTCCAGCTTATATGCACAAATACCAAAGTGTTTAAGCAATCAAAACATTACCTCTAGTAGGTGACATAGCAGTGAGATCAAAGCATTTTTAATCTACTAAAAGCTACCTACAGAAACAAAGAAGCTCTTTTGTTAAGCAGTAGTATAGCAAATGCTTCTTTAATAATAGAATAGACCCGTTTTGGTAACTGTCAATAATGTTAGTATTAAAAAAAAACCTAATTTATTACGTACAAGTATATCTCGTAAGCCTAAAACATATATTGGAATGCCTCACAATTTTGTACATGATCAAATATAACACTATCAAATTGTGAAAAATGTTCTTTAAGTCTAGAAATGTGCTGTAGGCAGTCAAAATAAGTTTTTAAAACAAACTTTAAGATATGACCACCAGTTAAAACAAATAATAATAATAATAATAATAATATCAATAATAATAGTAGTGACAAAATAAATTATATATATATATATATATATAATGTATATATACATATATATATATATGTATATATATATATACCTGTCTCTTATACACATCTAGATGCGTATAAGAGACAGTTCGAGAGCTTTTCCGAAAAACTTCTAAC